GCACGCCTTTAATCCCAGCACTCGGGAGGCAGAGCCAGGCGGATCTCTGTGAGTTCGAGGCCAGCCTGGGCTACCAAGTGAGTTCCAGGACAGGCGCAAAGCTACACAGAGAAACCCTGTCTTGAAAAACCAAAAAAAAAAAAAAAAAAAAATTCCCAAATTAATTCATTATAACATTCAAAATGACCTGTTTTCAGTCCCCAAACTGAGTCATTTAAAAAAAAAAAAAAAGTACTGACATTATACACTCTAAGTAGCTAAAGGAAAAAACATTTAAAAAAAAAATGAACAAAGACTTAGGGAAGCTAACAACACCATCCAGAGTATCAGAACATGCACTGAAGAGTGACTGAGAAGACAAAGCAAGCAAGACGGGAAGAAATGGCCCCAAATTTCCAAATTAGATGAGCCTACAGACCCTAGGAACTCCATGAACTCCAGCAGGACGAACTCGAGATCCATACCAACAATGGTATACATATAAGACCAAACGCTCTCAAAACCAAAGCCAAAAAAGGTTTTGAAATCCCCAAGTGACCTCTCACATACAAAGGGACCTTGGTTATATTTAATTCTATTTCTTTTTTTTCTTTTTTTTTTTTTTTTTTTTTTTTTTTTTTTGGTTTTTCAAGACAGGGTTTCTCTGTGTAGCTTTGCGCCTTTCCTGGGACTCACTCTGTAGCCCAGGCTGGCCTCGAACTCACAGAGATCCGCCTGCCTCTGCCTCCCGAGTGCTGGGATTAAAGGCGTGCGCCACTACCGCCCAGCCTTAATTCTATTTCTAATCAGAGTCCAGAATTCAGTAAAATGAAATACTTAACATGCAGAAAGAAAAGGAAAGACTAAGCCAAAAATTCTGTATCTGATAAACTACCCTTCAAAAATTAATGAGGCTGGAGAGGTTGAAGAAATGGCTTCAGAGTTTACTGCTCTTGCAGAGGGCTGGAGTTTGATTCTCAGCACCCACACTGGGCAGCCTGCAACCACTCTCGCTCCAGGGGCATCAAACACCTCTGGCCTTCACAGGCACCTTCAGTTACATGTACGCATGTATATATATACATACATGCACACTCACACATAATTAAAAAAATCAATCTTAAAAATAACTAGGCATGGTGACACACATGCCTTTAATCCCAGCACTAGAAGACAGAGGCAGACAGACCTCTGAATTCAAGAGGCTAGCCAAAACTACACAATACCGCAAAGCTACACAGAGAAACCCTGTCTCGAAAAACCAAAAAAAAAAAAACTACACAATACACTATCTCAAAGTCTTCTCCACTCCCCAATTTCTTTTTGATGAAACTAAAATTTTAAAGGAGGAGCTAGAGATTGCTCAGCAGTTAAAGGCTGCTCTTCCAGAAGACCCTGGTTCCGTTCCCATGACTTGCATGGTGGCTCACATAAATCTGTCCATAACTCCAGTTCTAGGGAGTCTGATACCCTGGGCCTTCTAGACTCCTCACCAATGTAGGCAAAACATCCATACACATAAAATAAAAATCTTTAAAAAAGGTTTAAAAAAATGTTGAGGATTAAGCTGTCACACACCACCTAACAATCAGCACACAGAAATTAATGTATTCCAGACTTCCTACCCAAAGGGAGCATGATCAGGAACTATGAATTCTCAGTGCCTCTCAGACTAACAACATGCACTGTCAATACTGCTTTCTGAGCACATTTACAGTTAGCTAGGCTGTTTCAGAGGTTAAATGCTTAAATTCATTTTTTAAGTTTACCTATTTATTGGGGGTACATGTCACCACTCACATGAGGTCACAACACAACTTGTAGTTCTGTCCTTCCACCAGTTGAGTTCCAGGGATGGAACTCATGGTGTCAGAGTTGGCATCAAGTGCCTTTGCCCAATGAACCATCTTGATAACCCATTAAATTCAATTTTGAGTCATATTTGGTACTGGGACATATGTAAGTCATAAACTGGCTGTGTGTAGTGGTATACCCCTTTAATCCCATATCTTAAAGGCAGAGGTAGACAGACTCTCTCTGAGTTCAAGGTCAGCTTGCTCTACATAATGAGTTCTAGGACAGCCAGGGCTACACCGAGAGACACTGCCTCAAAAAACAATAAAAGTAAGTTGTGTGAGTCAAGGAACATCAAAATGTGGATAAATGTTGATGCTGGGCTTATTATATTAGGTATATCTGAAAATTCTTGATTCAATCTTTTTCTTCAGTAAGATCTACCCAGGAAACAAAATTTTACAAGTACATTTTATTTTCCTCGCCTATAAAAATCAGCGTATTTAAAGAATACTGTTAAATTATGAGACAAGGCACTCATCCTAACCCAGTTCATGAACTGTTTTATGAACTGTTAAGTCTTAATGTACAAATCAGCTTGGAGGATTTTTGTTAAAATTTATGTTCTGTCTTTTCATTTTGACTTTGTATTTTATACTACAAAGCAAGCACTAAATCTTGAAATTTATTATTTGCTCTACAATATGTGTCCTTAAAGGCCTACTTCTACATTTATGCTAATCACCAATGTCCAATATTCTCTTAACCATCAAGACCCTCATGCTTCTCCCACCCTTACTTGCAACAGCAAATATCTTTACAGAACTGCCATCTAAAGTTAAAGGCATGCTGCATTCCTATAAGCACCCAAGTTTCACACTGACATAACTGCACTTCTGTAATTACCTATTTTGGCCACCTAGAGATTCTATTAGTTTCTGGCTCCATTCTAGACACTGAAATACCACCATCATCACCATCCCACCACCTGACCCTTGAAAACATTAACCACTTACAATACATGAGATGATTTTAAACTGACAATTCTGGGATATTTAATGGATTTAGTTCAATAACCAAGTTAGATTAGGCCACAGTCACATTTTGTTGAGGGAGGGAGTAAAGACAGGTGCTCACTATGTAACCCAGGGTGGCCTCAAACTCACAACCCTTCCACCTCGATTTCCCAAATGCTGGTATTACAAGCTCATACCAGGTACACAACAGCCTTTTAATGTAATGAAACAGAAATCTGAAAGCTTGGCATATAGTCCCCACTAGAACTAGCCATGAAATTTGTGCAAGTACTTTATCATGATGTCAATGTGAATGTGAGCTGTAACTACAAAGTCTGAAAGCCACTGTGCTAGGTAATATGCTAAACTGAGGACCAAGTAAGTAACCTAGATACAAAGAAGGTATTACCTACAATGTAAATATTTCCAATGTAATGGTTTTGTTGGTTATACAGCAAACATACGGATCTAGTGGACAAAAGTAAGAACACGGTATTTTTTGTCTAGATTTACTAAGGAAACATTTCAATCTCTAATTCATTTGTCAAATATTTGTTGAACACATGCTACGGACCAGGAACTTGGGGTGCATGGTAATGCAGGCAGACATGCTTGTTCTCACAGGTCTTACAAGTTACTCAAAGGGCAAAAAAAAAAAAAAAAAAAAAAAAGGCAGAAAATTACAGATTAAGGGTAACAGATAAACGTTCAAGGGAAAACAGGAGTGCCACTAGATGGAAAGGGAAGCACAGAAGGGAAACACATATAAGCCAATGATTTCTCTGGTGAGGCCTCCTCACTCAGGAGGCTGAACCTGCTGAATCAGGAGACAGCCCTACAAGAGAGAGGGCAGGAAGAGTGCAGCGCAAACGGGAGTGAGGAGCGCAGGCAGCTCTAGGGCTGCAGGGATGGTGAGTACCAGGGACCAACTCATACAGAACTGTTTGGCTTGAGTCTAAGAAATGTTAACGCTAGCAGGGTAATAAAATGAAAGAAAAACTCCAAACTTCCAGAAAACCTATCTAGCCCTCTAAAGCTACAACCCTCAAACTTTCGGGCCTAAAAATTAATACATAGCTTCCAAATCTTGTTTATGTGGTTATTTACAAGTATTTACTATTTTAAAATTTAATGAGAAACTTAAAAACACACAAGCACACAGTCCCTAAGCCATCAATGTCATGTCTTCATATGCCACAAAGACTCTGGAAGGCCTCAATGCACACTAGTGAAAAACAAATGGAAAATTAAAGTATCTTCATCTTTCACTTAAGACAGCTTTGATCTAAGGGTTTCCATAACATTGGGACTCACATATAAAACTTTAATTTTTACCTTCTCTATTCAAGGCAGATAAAATGTATTTTAAACATTTAACTAGAAAGCCTCAGATTCGTATGTTTAAAAAAAAATCATCTATGTAAACTGGCAATGACATAGACCATACCACATCCTCTCCAGAAACGACATTCTGGCATGTAGCCTCTGCCGTTTTATTTTTGCGTTTATCATACAAATACTTTGATATTTGGGCCAGAATCCCTAAGCAGGGTTGTTTTAATATGCCCGCCCATCTGGAAGCATCACAAAACCGCCTCTGGAAGATGCAGTGTCTAAGTTCAAGTGTCTATAGCAAGCTGGTGGCAAATGCTTTTGTTGTCCACACTTTACCAAGGGTCTCCTTTTATCCAAGTCCTGAAACGTCATTTTAAAGTACTGCTTCACATTTTTCAAAAACACTCTCATTCAACAAAAATGTGGTTTTATTTAAAACTGGTTAGTCTTTCCATACCGTTTACAATGGTAAAACAAACACCCAAGAACCTGGTTCCGTCACTAAACCTTTGTACCCTATCTTCATCCTTGCAAGCATACGGCCACTCACAGGTTTTCCTCAGATGATAATGGGTTTATTTAAAGCACTCTAATACGCCGCGGAATTTCTCTTGCATTCTGACTGGGCGACTCGCCGCTACCCAGGGAGAATCTTCCAGGGAAGCTAGAAATCGCCAGGGCCGCCCGACCCCCGACCCCCGACCCCGTCACGGGCTCGCCGCAGACCTCGCGGCGCCGCCACGAGCCTAACGCTCCGCGCTCCCGGCCTGGTCGGCACAAGCAGGCCCAGGACGGACGGCTCCGGCTGTGGCGGGGCGACACGAAGGCCCTACACAAAGGCTGCCCGGCCCACGGCGCCAACCGCGGCCCACGTACCTCCAGCGCCTGCTCCTCCGCCCGCGCCCAGAGCGGCCGCCATGGTGGTCCCCGGGCCCGGCCTTCAGCCGTCCCCCGAGCCTCTGGCGGCCGACGGCGCCGGTGCGGGCCGGGGAGGCGGGGGAGCGGCGAGGGCCGGAGCCCGCGAGCGAGCAGAGGCGAGGCCCGCGCGTCGCGGTCCGCAGCGGCCTCTCGCCTCCGCAGGAAGAAAACAACACTACGGCAACATGGCCGCGCCGCAGTGCACGCCGGGAGGAAGGCGGGCGGAAGAGCTGGCCGGCGGCAGGCGGGCGCCCGAGGTCCCCGGAGCCCGACCGTGCCCGGCGGCGCGCGCTGAGGGGACCGGCGCACAGACACGGTTTCCGCCGGGCGAGAAGGCCGAGGATCCAAACGGGAGGAATGTGGCCGGCCGCCCGCCGTAAGTCAAACCGGAGGCTGTCATAAGTCGCCTTGCAGCAGTCGGCACGGCTGCGCTTTACGACGGCCTCGCCGCCGTCGCAGGTGGAGGAGCTGAAGCGCGGCCCGCGGTGGTAACGGCCCAGTCTGGCTTCCGCGCGACCAGGGGTGGTGCGCGGGAACGCCGCGTTCGCGCACGCGCGCTCGCGTTGGCGCTAGCTGGCTGAGACGGTAAACCTGTGGAGTCCAGCGACAGGAGCTGAGGTGTGTGTTGCAGTGGTCCTGGGCGCTGGGATGAGGCGGGACTGGGAACCATAGCCTCACAGACGCCTGAGCATCCCAAGAAGCATCCAGACCTGACTCCTTCGAAGGGAGGTTTCAGGGCAGAAGTGAGCTGGGAAGGCTAAGGGGCAGCGCAGGTGGGCTCCTGGAGAGGCCAGGATGGAGGCTGACTGCGCAGTGAGCATTCCAGAGAGAGAGGCAAGTATTAGTCGACGTTCACGGGAAGTCCTGGGGGCTGAAAGAATGTCTCCTATAAACTTCAACTTTTGTTTCATTGAAATTTTTCTTCATAAAATGTTGGAGAAAATAAACATTTCTGATTATAAGTAATGAATAAATAATGTTCATTTAAGAAACAGAAAAAAACAATTTCTTTAAAAAAAAACACTTTCATTTAACTCATGAAGTCATTGCCCAATAAAAGTAAGCCTGGCACATTAATAAATTCATATCTAAACTGCTTGAACCTCTTGTTACCTTTCACTAATTGCACTGTGGAAGATTGAATGCCCAACTCAGTTTTTTCAAGATGATTGCAGTGGTGATCTTGAGAAAAACATTTAAAAAAGATTCACAATGATAAAATTACCTCATAATACTTTATAGCCATATTACATGTGAAAAAGGACATGTATCTCAATTATGAAACACCTAAAACTGAAATTCTCCAGGACAGGAAGCTCTAAACTTTTTTTTTTTTACTCAAAAACATTCACTAGAAAAACATTAAAATGTGAGCATTCAGTATTTAGAGATTTGATCACTTACTGTGTACAGATTTAAACTCCCTTTTCCTCATCACCACATCATCATACCACTCCCGGCCAACTCTCTAGAAACCTGTTGAGGTTCGGTGTCAATTAGGATACCAAACTGCATTGCTTGTGAAAATGATCCCTGAGGAGTACAATGCTTCTGGCCTCAGAGCACTGAACAATCCTCAGACTCCTAGCGGGAAGCCATTCCTTCATGCTCTCCTACTTGAGGATACTACCTAAATGTGAGGGTTTAACAATAGCCCCTCAGAGCTGTTATGAGATATGCTGGCTCGGATCTGTCGGAAGCTTCTAAGCCAAGAAGGCTTCCTACCCTCAGTGAGTACCTAAGTGGACTTTGAGACATCAAGATGGCTATGTAAGTCTCTCTCTCTCTCTCTCTCTCTCTCTCTCTCTCTCTCTCTCTCTCTCTCTCTCTCTCTCTCTCTGTCTCCCTCTTCCTCCTTCCATGGGAATCTACTTCAGAAGTCTACCATGAGAGCCTAGAGGAGACCAGCCCAAGAGCACAGCAATACCTAGCACCCAAATCTTGGCTTTTCAATCCTATACTCTAAAAGAATAATTTTTATTGGGAAAAACTCAGAAAGCTCCACCTGAATTGATTAAACACTTCAATCATGAATGAATAAAAATGATGTGTACCTACAGAATGCAGTAGGAGAACAGTATGTCTTTCATGGTAATCTCATTAAAGATGTCTACCTGAGTCAATTGTTGAGAAACCATGACAAGGTCCTACTGAAAGATGTTCTATGCAGGTTTGTAATCTTCAAAAGCATCAAATTTATGAAGGTCAGGGAAAAACTGAGGTGGAGTCGCAGGATAAAGAAGTCATGACAACCAAGTGCAGCACATGACTCTGAAATGGGTCTCCCAGAGTAAGGTGCATTAGTGGGACAACTCGTGAAAATAGGAAGGCCTCAAGATTAGAGAGGTGGAATATGACAGTTAATTTCCTGGTTTTGATTGTTGTGATCGATATGTAAGAAGAATGCTTTTGCATAATATACACAGGGGTGGGGATGGGTATCTACTCAAAATTCACAAAGTCATGCATTTAACCCAAAATGATTAGTGAAGAAGCCAAACATGGAGCTAGAGAGAAGGCTCAGTGGTTAAAGGCATATACTGCATTTGCAGAGGACCAGTGTTCAGTTCCTAGTACCCCTGTCAGGCAGCTCACAACCACCTATAACTCCAGCTCCAGGGGATCTGACACCCTTTCCTGGACTCCCAAATGTACCTGTACACTTGTGTGTGCCCACACACATGTTGCAGGATATTTGATCACACTGTGGACCCTGAGATTGCACTATTTACTGGAGAAACCTGTTCCTAGCTGTGGTGTGGCTCAGCCCTAGCACACACCTTTAATCCAAAAGCTTTCTTCTTGAATATTGTAAACAGGATTAAATAAAGTCAACCATAGGTCAAGAGGCAGAGCAAGCAACCAGTTGACAGGAAAAAAAACATAGAAAGAGGGAGTCAGGAAGACTGATAGAGAGATGCAGAGGAAATAGAAGGGCGGGACATCTGGTTGGAGAAGTTTTGGTTTGAGATGGTGTAGGAAAAATCTCTTTCTGGAACAGTGGCAGAGGAGAAAGCAGCTGGGTGTTTTCTCTGCCTCTCTGAGCTAGCAGGTTTTCACCCTAGCATCTGGCTCCTGCGTCTTTATTGATAAAATAGAACGATAGAGACTTAGTTAAAAAACAATACACATATATACACATAAGAAAAAAATTAAAACCTTTATTAAAGAGAAGCAGCATATATGATCAATTCTAGAAGAAAGATAATCAATGGAATTACAAAGAATTTCAAACAATTATAAGTATCTTCAAGGAATAAGAGGGAAATAAGGTCCAAATAAGGAAATAAACAGATGATATGAAGTAAAATTTCTAGAGCTATGCTTGAAATAAAGTACTTAGTGGATAGGAATAAAAGATCAGAAATTCCTAGTTCTATCTCAGAGATGTACAGAGCTCAGAAGAGCATCACTCCCAAGTTTACAATTCGGAAAAAGTGCAGTTCCCTTGATCCAAGAAAATCAAGTTTTCAAAGCAACCAAGTAACTGAAAGTCTGAGGTAGACAAACACCTATAAAGGGTTAAGACTTTGTTGAGGGTATTCTCTTGCCTGTGACAGACACAGCCAATTCCATATAAACTGGAAATAACAGTCAACCAAAATAGTTAATGAACTTGTAAATGCCATGTGTGGACTAGCCGTAGAGTAGAAATACTGCCTCCCTTGTAGGCTTCTCCATGAACTATATCATGTACTCATGAAAGGTAGGGAGAATCCTGAGACTGCCCATCACTGTGATGGCTGAAGAAGGGCATGGTGACCACTTAAGAAATTCCACCGACACACATCTCCCTTTTTATCCTTATGAAAAGCTTCTGAATCTTCATGGAGAGGAGCAACAAAAAGCGAAGCCACATCTTCTGGTAGTGGACCAGTCGGTGGTTTATTGTGTGTAGAGCAAAATGGAGCTCGAGGCCATGAGTAGGTACACCAGCCCAGTCAACCGGGCTGTCTTCCCACACCTGGCTGTGGTACTTCTTGCCATCGGCATCTTCTTCTCCTGATTCTTGGTTTACAAGGTCACCTCTACCAAGTACACATGTGATACTTAGAGCTCCTCATCTCCTTGGTGGCCTCACTCTTCACGGGCTTCAGAGTCCTCTTCCTCCTGCTCGGGGTTGGCATCTACGTATGAGTCCCCAAGGGTACCCACCAGGCAGCTTCACCAAGTCCCTGCTTTTGTAAATTAATTTTTTACCTTTGCTACAAGTTTCCCACCTGCTGTTTTCAATAAAAGCAGATGTGCGACAAGAACAACAAAAAAAAAATCAAGCCACAGGGCAGCGAAGAAAACCAGTTCCACTGTGGGAAGAGCACAGAGAAGACAAACAGAAGCACATGTTTGTTGAGCACAATGGCTGAAGTAGGAGTACTAGAAAGCCCACCACACCCCAAGATTCAGGGGCTGCCTGCCTAACATAGAGGCCTGATCATTATCAGTAGACTTCCCTTCTCCCCTCTCCTACCGTGTTAAAGAGCTAGGGGGTGTGACTCAGTGATAAAGTACTGATCTGGAATGTATGAGGCCATGGCTTCATCCCTACCACCGAAAAGGAGAAAGAAACGATTTTTTTTCTTTGTTTTTCGAGACAGGTTTTCTCTGTATAGTTTTGGTGCCTGTCCTGGATCTCGCTCTGTAGACTAGGCTGGCCTTGAACTCAAAGAGATCCATCTGCCTCTGCCTCCTGAGTGCTGGGATTAAATGCGTGAGCCACTGCTGCCTGGCTCAGAAACCATTTTTAAACAAGTCTCAAAGACTGTGCATGTGGGCAGGGTGACACATACCTATAACACCGGTACTTGAGAGACAAAGACAGAAGGATTGCTGATTGCTTCAAGTGAATGGCCAGCCTGGTCTATATAGCAAGTCCCAGGCCAGCCAGGAATTTACAGTTAAACCCTACCTCAAGAAAATAGAAAGACAAAAGTCCATTGCAAGTACCTGGTGGATTCAGGTGGGAGTCATGAGAGGCTGATTCTGTTAAGAATGCAGCAGGAAGAGAAGCCAAAACCCAGGTAAAGGCCGGGTGGTGGTGGCACACGCCTTTAATCCCAGCACTCAGGAGGCAGAGGCAGGCAGATCTCTGTGAGTTTGAGGCCAGCCTGGTCTACAAAGCGAGTTCCAGGAAAGGCGCAAAGCTACACAGAGAAACCCTGTCTTGAAAAAACAAAAAACAAAAAAACAAAAACAAAACAAAAAACCAGGTAAAGAGTGGACAGTGGAAATAACTACCAATGGACCACAGCACATGTCACAGATAGGGTACCACTAGAGGAATTGGAACCACCTGTGCACCTGAAATGTGCCCCATCACTCCATGTGTCTGAACACTTGATCCACTCTGCTCTGAAGGTGCTATTTCAAGGCTGTGAAACCTTTAAAGTTGAAGCCTGGCTGGCAGAAGTAGGACACTAGGGGAAGGCCTTTGAAGGTTATAGCCCACCCTCATTCAGACCAATCTCTACTTTCTAATCAGTCAAGCTATGAGTAAGCTATGCAGCAAGCTTCCACTGAACCACTCTGGCCATGATGCCCCTCCACCAGGTTGGACTGTACCCCTGAAACCTGAATCCAAAATAAACCGTCCTTAAAGTTGCTAATGAACATGCAAAATACGTGAAGTTTTTTGGGGAAACCTAGCAGTTGCTTTAAACATAAAAGTATATTTATCTGACCAGTGAGATGGCCCAGCAGGTAAATGCACTGAACCTGACAACCTGAGTTTAATTTCCATAACCCATATAGTAAAAAGAAAGAAAGAACTGACGTCCACAGCTTATTCTCTGACCTTCATGCACTACCAGGACATACACACAACATAATATTTTGAAGTA